AAAATTCAATTAGATAGATATATATATATATAAAATTATGTATAGGAACCCTTTTATTTTGTTGTTTTTTTTTAATTGAGCTGTGTTTATATTTTGAGATTACTAGTGAAAGAATAATACTAACTGCAGCTGGATCAGAGCTAAACTTCTGGTTTTGTGCTGAAAAGGGCAGTACTTTTACTTTTAAAATAATGGCTGCTTGCAGACAGTAAAAAAAAAGAAAATCAGCATTTTACTTTAAACTCCATCTGCCCCTGTGCAGAGCCCAATGCATGCCCAGAAGAGGCAGCACATTAATTTGACCTGGCTTGCCCAATATCTGTTTAGATCAGGCACTTTAATGGGGCTTTTTTGGCACTTGTATCTAATATCTGATTGAATCAGCTTTAGATAAGAGTGCCCAAAAAGCCCCACTGAAGCACCCAATTTATACAGATGCTGAGGAGCTGGATTGAAGTAACATGCTGCTTTTCTTGGGAAGGCACATTTTGGGGGATTTTTTTTAACGTCTGCAAGCAGCCAATGTGTTTACTATATGAGAAGTACATTTATAAAGTGTTTTACTATTCATTTCTTTGTTTTTAAGTGTTTGACTGTTATAAACAATATGACAGATAAGGACATTTTGAGAACCTTAAACTGTTTTCAAGCATTTGTTTTTCTTTTTGAAGTACATGTAAATATCAAACATTAAATCTGGGCAAAACTTACTTCATGGAACCAGGATTTCACTGCAGTTCACTATATTAGCCGCTATATTTTCAGTCTTTTTTTCTTGTAGTGTCATGCTAGACAAATAAAGGTGGTTTTTTTTCATTTTTAGAAAATAATTCCAACATTAAGCAGCTCATCCACTTTGAACCAAGGCAGAGTGTTCCTTAAGCAAGTGGCAATAATCACAGAAAGACGTTCAGCATGACAGAAACATTTTGATGATGCTTGATATAATGCAGCTTGGTATTCTGCACTGTTTTGTTTTATATGTTGGCATATGAGCTAATCCTGAGGCTTTAAATGGAACTATAGACAAAATGGCACCTACTGGTTCTCCTTTCCACCAGATGGGGTCGAATTTGGCGTTTCCAGAAAGTGAAAAACTCTGGTCCAAGTTTACATCGTACATGTTGTTGTCAATGATGCCATGAGATTCTGGGTACAAACCCTGAGAAGGAAAACAAATTAAGAAGTTTAAACCTTAAAATCACATTAAATATAATATTATTTCTACCTGACTGTATCACAGATGTTAAAAAGGGAAAAGATTTATTGGGTTGCGTATATCATTAGGACGGCTGCCAATGAATAGTTCAGCTTCTTTGTTTTTCCCTGTTTAACCAAACTGGTAAAACTGCTGTGACACAAGAGGCTTCTTTTCCTGTAAACACATATAATAAATGCCAACTACATATATATAAGCAGAGAAGAAAGCCATCATAAATAGGTTAGTCATATTCTGGGTGAGACCAACTGGGTGAGACACAGCTCTCCTTATTCAATCCTGTTCTTACAAGGAGCAGGAGTAGTCTGTCCATAGAGTTAGGCTTATATTCCACTTCTGAGTCAAGAAATACACATGTGAATTTGGAGATCTTGCCCCTTTCTCTCAAAACTGCTTCTCGCAATGTTTTATGCCTCTATGACTTTATCTGTCTTTTATTTATTGTTCATAACTTCCATGCCTGTGTCACATCTAAAATCAGATTGTTAACATGTTGTGACAGACTCATTCTATGTTCAGCCAAAGAATCTAAATTTTAGTATGCTATATAACTAATGAAAAGTAAAAATGGTAAATTCTCACTTACTGTGACAATAGTGTAGTGGTTTGGGAAGGTTTTGGTGGGGTACACAGCTCTCATGTACTTTGTATGTGTGCCACATGTCTCTGCAACAGATATTGGAGTGATTATAGCATTATTTCCTGAACAATTCTAATAATTATATTAAATATTTATACAATAAAGTTTATCAAATATTTAAAAACAAGATATTGTCCATCAGAGTTCCATTGCCTGGGGGAATTTACACCTGCAACTCCAGTTTCCAAGCACAGTGCTCTAGCCACCACGCCATGGGTTATTGGACCATCAAGAAAGGCAGATATGCAGAGCCCATGATGAAGAGAATAAACCAGATGTGTCACTCAGTTAAAAGACTGGTCATGGGGCATAAACTGCCCCAGGGCTGCTTAACCATTTTATCAATTGAATATTAAATTCAATTATATACACTAGACTTTAAGAGGAAGACTAGAAAAGTGTCTATATAATTATTAGCCTATGGTCTGCTGGTTGAAGCACTTTCCTTAGAAGCTGGTGACATGGGGTTCAAATCCTATCTGGCCCAAGAGAGTCTGGAATGTAAGCCCCCTGCCCTCTGAGCTAGTTCCCTAATTATAGGCTAAAAGTTGGGAGGATCCTTAGTCCCCCTCAACTAGTTGTAACTGCTATTTAACTAGTATTTCTGGACTAGTCTAGTCTTAGGGTAGAAACAGACACCACTTTTCCTTGCCTTTGTGCCACCATAAAATTTGTATAGAGGTACAAAGTGAAAGCAGATGGATATATTTTTGTATTGATATTGATATAGCCCATACTTTTGTCAGCCGTGGCAGAAGGTAGTGAGAATTTGTGTTGCTTTATTATGAGGGACATCTATTTGCTCTATAGCAAGAGAGTGTGGGCAGCCTAGAGCTGCCTGTGTTCTCTAGCCACCTGAGGCAAGAGTTTGGGGACTTGAGGGGCCAGATTCTACGCAACTCAGAAACTCCTGCATAGGCTTTGGGCCCTTTAAGTCCAGGGAGAGCCTCCCCCAGCTTTCCCTATTTAACGAGGATTTCTTGGAATATCTGGGGTATATCTGGGTAAGCAGGAAAAGTCGGGCAGATCCCTGGGATCTCCAGCATGAGTTTAGGCAAGCTTTCCCTGCTTACTCAGATGTGCCCCAGAAATACTAGGAGGTAGTCCTGGTAAGCTGGGAAGGCTGGGCAGGGGTTTCCAGGACCTGAGGATCCTGATCCTGTGTGGGAATTCCTAGGGTGTGCAGGACTGGGCCCCTCAAGTCCCAGTAGAACATATTGCCCATTGCTCCCTGGCATCAGTGGGTGGGACAACAGGCAATATGTGTTTCACCAGACATACCATAGCACAGCTGATCTGTTCTATGTGGTAGTGTCTGTTTCTAACTTTATATGCATACATGGGAGATCCTCTTTAACTGCACAGCCCAGCCAAAATGGGGCCCTATAAAGAATGCCCAGTTGGTGTAACAAGCAAACGTATGCACAGCTGAACCACAAACTACACATAAGGGCCAAAAACTGCAGTTACCTGGTTGTGTATGTGCCACTTAGACAAAGCCAAATACAATTTTGCCTTAAGGGTTGTGCCCAAGGTCACCTAGGAAGCCTGTGGCAAACTAGGAAATCAAGCCTTGGTCTCTTGTGTCATTTGGTGAAGATATACAACATCTTTATTCTGGAACATTTTAATTTTATTCTGGGGTAGAAGTGGAGTGGTGCACACCATTTAGACCTACGCTGAGATAAATTACTCTACTCTGAGGCAAAGCTTCCTCATGAAAAGCCTGTAGTCACCTTAGGCCCGGCTAAGTTACACCAGTACAAGTGTCAGATATCTGTAGTTAGAATCAGTTTCAATGCTTGTAGCCTTTTGCTAAACTATTATATGTCACCTGCAAGTATGCCTGGCTTGAAATAACCTCTTGGAAGCTTAAAGTTAATAGTTATTTCCATTTAATAAACATATATTTCTCTTCCATCTGTTTCAAAAGGAACTTGAACTAAACTTGAAATGCTATGCTTATTAGCTGATTCAGATATCTTCTCCTAACTCGGTGTCAGCAAAGCATCAAACACTTAGATAAGAATGCAAATCAATTTAACTTTATGACATTTTGCAATCCTTTTTAACTGTAACTAGTGAACCACAAACTGAGTTTGATTACCCAGCAATCTTTAGCAGCTTGCTACAACCATAACAACTTTTTTAACATTTACTTAAAAAGAAAACTGTGTATAAGTGTCAATTCAGACCACTGTTTTTGCAAAGAAAATGAAGAATATGAGTCTATACAGAGGTACTGAGAACAGTTTGGGTTAAATCCTACTTTGCATTTACATACCTACATGCCACTTAGGTAGCTGCATAACTGCAGTTTTTGACACAGACTCAGAGCTTCACAATGGCTGTGTAAGCTCCAGAGAGGAATAAAAACACCCAAGTACAAATATAACACCTCATAAGTCCTAAACATTTAGTTTCATAAAAACTACAAATAGTTTTTCTGCCAAAGGTGAAAAATGGAGAAGGATCCCTCCTACTTTTTAGCCCAAGGTGTTTTAGATAGAGCACTTTTTTTGTATCTCTATCCCCCTCTAAGCACTCTGAACCTGCATCTCATACTTCCTAGCAAAAGTGTTCTAATCTTTGGATAATCAGCTAGGCACTAGAGGCTTTCTAGTCTGGGCAGCCAAGAGGAAAAGATGTGTGGAGCAGAGAGAGAGATAAACTGGAGAAAGAGTGACTCAGTGAAATAGATGCTGCCCTGGAAGGGAGGGGACCCCAATAATTTTTCTGTAACTTGTATTTAATATTTATTGGATACAATGATAAACAGCAATGGAAACGTGCCAGCTCCACTGGGGACCTGGTGGTTTGAGAAATTCCCTGAAAATTGGGAAATACAGGTTCTTCTGAGTAAAGGAAGCCTAGAATCCTCCCCCTCCTATGATTAGTTTGCAAAAGACAGTTATTGAACTAAATGTAGGAGAGGCATCTGTTCCTACCACCTTGTTTCAGGCATTTATATGCCAACCTGGACAATCCTAACCTGCTAGAGGTTGAAATAGAAGGTAAGAGCTGTATAAGTACCAAAAATGGCACCAAGGTATCTAGATACATGTCACTTGCATGTATAAAAGTAAAATAGGATTTGGTCTTCAGGGTGTGATTTTAAAGTGTTTATGAAATTCTCATGAGAAGCATGCTCTAGGTGTGCACAGAGGCTACTTCTGCTGAGGAACCTGAACTCCCACTGACTTAATTTTCAGATTCAGTGTAATCTGCATGTTTTAGGACTGAGTCTGTAGTCACCATAAACAGCTGAATATATTTAGAATAACATTGAATAGGCCTGTGCGAAGCGGCAAGTATTCACTTCAGATTTGGATTCGGCTGATTTGGAGGACAGTGATTTGATCTGGAGATTCGAATCACTGTCCCGATTTGATTCAGCTGAATCAGACCCAAAAGTTTTGATGTCACTTCAGAGATTCAGCCATAGACTAAACAAGCAGCTGACATAGCTGCCTCCAACTGATAAGTCTGTTGGGGTTGAAGGAGGGAGAGGCATGGGGGAGGCAGGGATTGGGACCGAGATAAGCTGCCCAGACGGGACGGGAGGGGGCTGTTATTCAGCAGGGGGGGCGGGAAGTGAAGGATGTGGGCCTGGCAGCACTCAGAGTGGGGGCCCTGCCCTGCTGCCGCTTGCCCAACCAGTGTGGGGAGGGGGGCCCGATGCAGGGGCGGCTCGCTCCAGGAGGAAGTGGAAAAGCAGCAGCAGGGCATAGCCCACACTCCCACTGCTGCCACACCCACATCCTGTGCCCCCCCCATGCTGGCTAGCAAGTAGTAGCCAGGCAGAGTCCCTACTTTCAGTGCTGATGTGGGCATGGCAGTGCTGGGAGTGGGGACTCTGCCCTGCTGCCATTTGCCCCCTTCCACCCAGAGCGAGTGTGCCCTCATTGCACCCTCCCCCCTTCCCAAAAAGGCAACTGACCATGAATAGACCCAAGTACCTAACTCAAAAAGTCTGTCTCACTGAGTGATGTTTCTTTTTTACCCATAAAATTGTTCCTTAGACATAATTCAGTATAGAAATATATGATAGCGCTTACATAAACAGAATGGTTCATTACAGCTTACAGTATTTTTCTTGAATGGGGTACAAAAATGCATTACATTTTCCACTGGAACTTTATATATTCTCAGACTATATTTGAAAAAACATTTCTCAATATTTGTTTTAAGTCTGAAATCATATGGCAGAGGCTAAATGGCCAGTGGTCAGTGGGTGATTTTATGTGCTATAATGCAGAAGTTAATCTAGACAAACCGCAGAAGACAAGGCTGCTATAGTTGACTAGGAGGTCACATACATAAGATAGAAGACAAGACTGAAAAACCTGCTTACAGTTTCTTGTTATTCAGTAGTCATTACACTTGATAACTTACTGAGTTTTTCAATATTTGGCAATAAAGAACTCCATGTTTGTAAATATTCGGCTCTAAAGCCATCCATCGAAAAGAGGATAAGTGGTGGCAGATCAAACCTACAAAAATACAAAAACTTGTCATCACAAAGGAGCCTAGTTTGGAGCTCTACACTCAAGCTTGCAAACATGTGGCGAAATCAATTTCAAATATATATTTTTTAAATTTTAGGAAAATCAAATAATAATAAGGAGAATTAAAGGGGAAGGTTATTTGTAGCATCTTTCAAAACTGGGTTAATGAACAGCTTCAAGAGTGCCAGAAGAGGAGCACTAAGTACATTTACAACCAAAAAAAATCAGCTCATGGGGTTCTATTTTAAAATAAATTATTAAAAAACTCAGTGGAGTAGGGGCCAAATCTGGACCTAGTTAGCACAACTCTTATTGATTTTGTTCGCAGTTGCACCTTCCTACACAAGGGCCTCAGTTTTATCTCTCCTCTCTCAGTGGATCATGACATCATCTTCCAGTGTGTCTCCACAAAGAGTTTCAATATTTTAACAGTCCCCTTTCAACTAACTTTACTCAATTGGCCTGAACTTCAAGAATAGCATTTTGTTGTAATGACAGAAGACTTCTTCTAAATATCTTCCTACATTTCCTTTCTGAGTAGACCAAATTCTTCTTACCCTAAAATCTTCTGCCACCTCCATGGAGTTGGAGCATACGTTGTGGTTACAAACAAATTGACAAACAGATTGACTCGATCAGTATCACTAAGAAAGTTTAGCATTTAATCATATGCTATTTGTTATTACTTACTATAAATAAGCAAGACTAAAACCCTTAGCACTGAGTAAGCTCTGCAGATATAGTAACTGTGATGGCAGCATACATTAATTTAAATTGCTCTCTAAGAATAAAAATCTGAACATTTGTTAAAGTAAACTCTAGCTAAGACAGTGGTTCTAACTTCATTAGGGTTTTGTTGCATGTTACAGTTACACTATAAGGCACACAAATCTTGCTCAGTGTTAGTACCACCTCGTGTCTGGAGCAGTCACACTTCAGACCAGCAGAAGGACTGAAAAATTCTTATCCCACCCCCTATTCCAGGATTCCCTTTTGCCCCCTGCTCCCTGGGTTCCCCTACCCTCCGCCCAAAGTTCCTCCCAGTCCCCTGGGGTAGCCCCCTGCCCCTCCTGCCCCCAGGACTCCCCCCACCCCCGGCTTACTTGTGGCTATGCACACTGTATGTCCCAGGGGAGCAGTCAGAGAAGGGTTAACCTGCCTGACTGGCCCACTCCCACCACTGCTGCCAGGCTGCTGCTGTTCTTTGAGCTGAGCCCAGCCCAGAGAGCAGCAGCAGCGGTGGTGGTGGCCAGACAGACAGATCATCCCTTCCCTACCTGTTCCTTAAAGAAAGACAGCAAGGGCAGCCACAAGTAAGGGTGGAGGCAGAGATGGGGGGGACAATGAGTGTGGATCTGAGGTGCTGGGAAGGTTGGAGGGAGGCAGTGGGCCTAAGCCAAGCTAGCGGGGGCGGGGGTACACTTCATTTACATTAAAGTGGACTAGAGTGTCTATACCTTAGTGTAACATGAGCAGGGTAACACACATCAGAGATAATCCTAGCCTGGAGTGGCATAACTTTGAGCCCCCTAACTAGTGCTTAAAACTAGTTTCAGGTGTTAATGTCATGTTACAAGCTCCAGGAGCAGACCAAAATTACTGTGTAACAAGGCCCATTAGACTCAAGGTATCTTTCAGAATATTTCAGCTGTTAGTTTTCACTTGATTTTTTGCTAAAAAAAAAAAAAAAGAAGCAATTATTCTAAAAGAACCCAAAGCCACACCAGTTCAGAATGTTTTTAAACTCTATGGATTTGAAACCTCTGGGTTTATCTTGTAAATCATGTTTGCACATCTAACGGTACTAACACTGCTTAGCAGCCCAAGGCACCCTTGAAAGCATCTCAAAGTGCCCTATGGTACCTCAGCACCTGAGAACCAGTGAGCTTTGAAGAGTAAAATGTGGCTATGATCTTTGCGGATGGTTCTATTTCCCTTTATAATACATAGTTGACAAGGGTAGCACACAAAATTAGTCTTCCAGTTCTGTAATTCAGCATGATTTCACCTACCCTAGAAATCTTCAAGAGGGGACTAGACAGTCACCTCGCTGGGGTCACCTGACCCCCAGTTATCTTTCCTGCTTGGTGCAGGGGACTGGACCCAATGATCTTCCAAAGTCTCTTCCAGCCTTACAATCTATGAATCTATTAATAATTAGCTTTTTTATAGTTTAATTTATAGCTGGGAGTGGTAATTCAGCAGATTGTCTTAAATTAGGGACCTGAATATCATGGACCCTAAAAATATTAAATTACAATTCTGTACAAAAGAACCCCATACTCAGTATATAGAGAACTCTATTGCATTGGGTCAGAACTCTCCTAGCTACAATGATTTGTTATGTGCAGTCATTGGTAACAAGTTTCTAGCATAATTTCTCCAATTAAAATATAGAGTGATTCATCCAGAGAATCATACTGATACATACTAACTCCTTTTAATTTAAAATCACCATTTCACAACAATAAGGAAATCTCCTAAGGAAGTTTCAAAGCAGTTTGTACCCGGCCCATTTCTAATCTTACTCTAGTCTAACCTTAAAACTAGTCTGACACTAGAGAGCACCATAGATTGTGGAATACAGTATGTATCCCACTTTAAGGCTGTGAATATGTTTCAAACAAGATGAGTTATTTGTTAACCTAAGAGGTACTTTTTTATACTCTGATCAAGGAATTGCATGCAGGAATTCTTGAACTTTGGAATGAGATTGTACTACTACAGGTGGTTACAAATATTTGTATGTAAAAATATTTGCATATGCACATCATAGTTCTAATACCCTGACTACTGTAGGTGGTTACATTCAGGGGAGTACCCAGAGAGGATGCAGTGGGGCAGTTGTACCACCCCCCTCCCTGTAATTCCTCCTCCCCCCCAAACTTTAAAACTAACTGCTGGGGGGTGGGGGCAGCAGCATTTCTATTCAGGCACTGTAGAGAGAGTCAACTGACTTCACGGTTCATTGTCATTTCCCTGTTTCAGACTGATTTCTGTCTACTCCAAAGGTATTAAAAACACTCTGTCCCTTTTTTAATAGTCTTGATGTTCCACTGTTCAGACTATCCTTTCTTTTTTATTGTCTGATATTCTGGGTAAGGTCTCTCTCTCATTTCACTGCCCTGCTGACTGTTTTTAACTCTAGCTAAAAAAACTTAACTCAGGTATGGTAATATTAACTCAGCTGTAAAAACGTTTGACAGTGATGTGTTGGAGACACTGTCAAGACACTCAAGAAGGTTAGATTTTTTCTTATGAATCTGAATAAGATTTACATTTAAGTATAATGACTACAGGATTATTGACGCAATATCTTTTGACCATTTTAACTATTTTTGTCTAGTTTGTTGTGTTTTTTTAAGCTTTATATATAATTGAGCAAATCAGTCTACATTCCAATAGTTATATTTGTCTTAGCTTCAATTTTAAACTGAATAATACAGTGCTAGCCCCCTAGCATGTTAGTAACCACCCCCACCTCCATCTACACCACCCCCCCTTTTCAAAATCCTGGATCCACCTATGGTTATATTTACCCACCCTTTTCTTTCTCCTCCTCCAACATCTTTCAAATAACATCATAGCTTCCTCAAATAAAAATTCCTTATTAGGCTTAGGAACGGTAATCACAAATCATAATAGCTATTCATTTTTGCAGGCATGCTGACTAGAATAAATTGCTGTCAGATGCTTGCTCTGAAATAGCCTAGGGATACTGTAATAATGATATAGACTATGAACAATTCAACTACAGAAAAAGAATTTGGTCTGTTTCTGATAAACAGTTGTAAAGATGACTCCTGGTCTTCATAAACTAAGTGTTGATCTGGATTTGATCATATGTTCTCATTTCAGTTACATATGACAAATTGGTATGCTGTTTTACAATATAAACATTCACATTTAGGGGGAAAATGTTTATATTGGTTAATTAGGACACTGAGTAAGTCAAAAGTTTTGCAATCCAATCTGGTCATCAGCTGACACCTCAGGAACAAGATTCAAGAACTTCTAGAGGAGAGACAATTTAGTACAGCTGTGATAACATGACCATAATAAGAGAAAGCTATTACATTAATATCAGTGAGAAAAAGTTGAATCTAGGTCTAGGGTCAGGCCACATTACAATATACCCAACACAAGCAATAATAGAGAAAGTTTCCTTGACCCAAAGAGTAGAACATGATGACAGACAACATGCTAATACATCAAAGTCTATGCTACAGTTATTTTTGTAGAGATACTAGAGTTAGCTTGAAACGCAGCTACCAGAAACAAGCTTTCTATGGGAGGCAGCTTAGGGGGTGACAGGACACAGGGTAGCAGCAGGTGACAGTGGTGGTAGCTGCAGGGAGCATAAGGCTCAGTGTGGTTTGCAAAACTCACACCAAGAATGGGGTAAGTACTCAGACAGTGGCTAATACTGGTCTCTGTGTTGCTATATCTAGACAGCTCCCAGTAGCTAACAGAAAGTTAGTTCCAGTGTCTTTGCACTATATTGCAGTCAGTTCTGTGAGTATATCCCCTTAAACAGAGGGGCAAAAAAGAACAGCAAGACAATATGCTATTATTACATTCCTTTCCTACTTGCTACATCAGTCTAGGCTAAGAACTTTCTAATATTCATTCTGAGAGTTTTCTAATGCAAGACAGTAGAAGAGAAGAAAATAGGGGGACTGCTCTTAGGCATCCAGTCTGAAAACTAATGCAGCTAAATACAGACCAGGTCCAGACATTACACATAAACCAGTATAAGTGTTCAGAAACTGGTCTAAACGTGTAACAGAACAGAAGCTCAGAGCATACAGATATGTTTAAAAATGGTGGAACCTGGTCTAAGATAGACCTGGATGGAAGTAGTATCAGATGTCCTGGGTTAGATTAGACTGGTCTATCAAACTTTTGTACCAGATCCTCTCCTGATTCAAGTTAGGTTGAAGTCCAGCATCTCAGGTGCCTTTGCAGCCCCCGCTGCTCCCTCCAACCTTGCGGGAGAGTGCGGGAGGGAGGAGGGCACTGGAAAGGGGGTGTCTATATCTCTGTATTTCTCTACCTTTATACAATGCCTGTAGGCATTTCAGACTCTAGCTATCACTTCCACATTTGTGTTGCTTGTTGGTTCCTCTTTTTATTTCAGAACTACCAATATTTACATATAACATATAACAAATGCTAGTAACCATATTTTTGTATTCTTTCCCTCCTTTCTATGTACTGGTTGTGGCTTTCATTTTTAATCAAAGAGAAGCTTAAGGAGCCATTGCCATGGCTAGCTAGGGAAGATCCATCTCTTGTCTAAAACTTAAACTACATGTTCATTCTTTATGGTAGGAACCAGTTTTTTCAGTGGTTATAAATACCATTTTTTTAGGCACTCTTTAAATAAAAAAATACCATTTAATATTATAGGCAGCCACAAAAATGCATGCATTTATATCTGATTATTATAACATTCTATCTATTAGAAAAGAAAACACAAAAACATTACTTATCCTACCCTTCTGGGCACTGCGGACTATCAAGTGATGGACATTTTTCTTCCACCCAGCTCATTTCACCTGAAAAGGACAAAAGAAGACACTGGAACGCTATTAAAAAAGCAACATAAAGAAGTTTCCTGTGCATCTTCGGTGCTGTTTTTGAAATACTGCTTAATACTCATAAACTTCTAATATCCAGGTTAATGATTGACTAGTCTCTTTAGAAGAAAAAAGGAAAGGAAAAAGAGAAGCAAGAACAAAATAGAAAGGCACAGAACAATAATGGGGAAGAATAAATGGTGCGGAAAGAGTAGTAGGTCTCCCGCAGAAAATCCCTCCCAGTATTTTGCAATGGTCTTAGTTCTGAGTTATTAAAGGCAATGGTCTTCTATGAATATTGTGATGTATTGTGCATTAGCTATTATAGATGTGCACCTGTACAGGAGGTGGGAAGCTGACCCAATGCACTGTAAATACAGTGCCTCAGAGCAGACATGATTATTCAAGTCTGCTGGAGTGTGCTAATTAGCATTCAACAAGCTTTAGATAAAGTGCCCCCACCACCATTTTGAAGTGTGGGAACATTGTAGAGATACCAGAGCTACAAGACACTCTGGGAGCTTTAATTAGAGCAGCTCTAGAAGCCACTCTAATTAACACACACCACACACACACACCCCTGCAGCATGAATAAAAACACCCTATTGGTGCGTCTACACATGACGCTATGTCACCATAGCAACGTGCTATGGTGACATAGTGATCACATGCATTTGCCCAAGACCAGCAACTACTTTGGCACAGAGGCACACTCTCTTGTTATAGTGTACCACTCCAGCCAAGTAATGGCTAAAAATAACCGTGCGCCCGGCAGTAGCAACATTTTTGTATGGGCACATACAGACATGCCCCCTGTTTATTTAAATGTTGCTACGCTGTGTACCTCCTTAGATACCATGTTTGCTCTGAGTTTTTATTCCTGTTCAGAAGAATAAAGTTACCAGCCATGTAAGCTGTGTGATGCACTCTGTCTTCTGGGCTATAGGTCTAATTTCCTCACCACTGAGGAGCCACAAGATGTAATTAATACAAAATGTAGAAATGAAATACCTTCAGGAAATCAGGTGAGAAAGGATTCCAGTACTACAATTACAATGATATGAAAGATGCTCTAGATATTTTTTTAAAAAACAATTTTAAAAAAGGCTACTTAGACTTGTTATATGCCTCCATAACACCCCTCTAACATCATAGTCGATGTCATTACAGACAGTAGTGATATTTTTAGACTGTACAAAGTGCAAAACAAGAACTGTGCCTCTCTTTTTTTTTCCTTTTTTTTGAAGATGCCACCCCAAGAGGAATATTATTTTAATTCCTAAGGGTTCAATTTTATATACACTGCATCCCTCCCAAGCAATTGCTTTCCTCCTATCAATCTCAAATATTTGGTATTTCACCCCGAAACTTCCCCAAAGTCTTTCAGTCTATAGAAGCATTATTTAACCCAAAAGAAAATCTTAACTTGTTCAAACTGAAAGCTGTATGAAATTTCATAATTACTAACAAGCAGGATATCCCCATAGGTTATTCTCATATTAAGATTTACTTGCGTGCTTTCCTGGAAATATGACAATAAACACTTTAAAAATGTTTAAAACTTTTGCTTTACCTTTGCAAACGCTTCTGTAGTTCACACAGCAGGTTTTCTTCTCTAAGCAGTCTTCAGAACAAGAACAGAGGCTTCCTGATATCTGTCTCTCACCACAACGGAGTTTAGTACACGACCAAGTTTGAACTGAAAAAAATCACCATTGATTCCCCCATGCTGCATATTGTTTATGTTTTGTGTTCTTTAAGCTTATAAATTCTACTTCTAATCAATACTATGTAGATACATATTCATAATCAATTTTCATATTGTTATATCTTAAGTAAATTGTATATACCTTAGCAAAATTGTAAACTGTCTCCCACAACTTTCTCATAAGTAAAATATGGAAATACGGTCTAGGTTAAGATACTGTACAGTGGATGGATAACTGGTTGGATAATCATGCTCAAAGAGAAGCCACAAATAGCTGAATACTAAGGACTAAAACTGGAAGGAGAGCTCAGTCAAGATCTGTCTTAGATGCAATATCTTCATTAAATGACATGAGGGATGGAATTAGGTAAACTTGACACCAACCTCAGTGGAGTAGGAAAGGACAGGCTCAGGATTAAAAAGGACCTTGATAAACTAGAAAAATTTTCTGAAACATATAGGATGAAATCCAATAAGGAGAGGTGTAAAGAACTGCGTTTAGGACAAAATAATCAATTGCACAAATGTAAAATGGGAAGTGACTGGCCAGGCTGGAATACTGTAGAAACCAATGTAGGAGTTACAGTAAAAATTAAATATGAGTCAATAATTGAATATCGGTAGGAATAAAGCTAACAGCATAGAGGCATCTGTTAACAAAAATGTCATATGCAAGTCAAGTACAAGTAGAAGCAATTCTTCTGCTCAGCTCAACACCTGCAAGCACTGAGCCCAAGTATCGTGCTGAGTTTTGGGCAACACACTTTAAGAAAAATGTGAACATATTGGAAAGAATTCAGAGGAGAGAAACAAAAAATATTAGAAGTGTTAAAGGAAACCACAATACTCAAAGAAAGGTTGGAAGAATTGGGATTATTTAGTCAAAAAGAGGGAAATTGAGGGATGATTTGAGAATAGTCTTCAAATACTGTTGTAAAAAGGAGGGTTCTCAATTGTCCTCTCTCACCCCAGGAAACAAGACAAGAAGTAATGGACTCAAGGAAGATTTATATTAAATATTAAAAACAAGTTTCTAACCATGTGGATGTGTCAGCACTGGAGAAGAATTTCTGTTCTTAGAAGTCTTTAAGTACATGTTAAGCAAAGTTTGCCTGCTTCAAGCAGTGGCTTGGACTAGGTGACTGTCTAAGGAACCCTTCCAATGCAATTTTTCTATGAAGCAATAAAAAATCACTCTATGGTTTTGACTTATTTCTATCGTTTCACCGAAATTATAACACTTTTTGGTGCTGGAAGTAAAAGCATTCCAGAGAGACAATGCATGTTCCTATTTTTGCTTTGCAAGCATGTACTCTCCCACAGGGTACAGCTAGTTATGTCTGTGGGCTTGCTGAGTTTTTGGAATCAACTATTCAAAAAAAGGCAAAGCATAGCAGAAGCTGTTTTGCTTGACTTTAATCAATGTGTTGAGAATTTTGTAAGATTTAGATGATGCATTAAATACCTTATTAGTTAATTTGTTGTACAGAGATGGGCTATAATATAGGGGCATTAGAAGTGTGCTTAAGGTGTTCCATAAATTGCTACAGTTATAAATTGCTACAACAGATGGACAATGTATTATCTGAGTCTGACTGATTATGTTCCTAAAAGTCATAATTCATAAACTAACTGAGCTTAGTCAATACAGTGTCCAGACCCTTTTTTAACAGTTAGTCAACATTATGAAATGGGTGCATAACTGGTTGAAAGTCATGTTCAGAGAATAGTCAAGAATAGCTTGATGTTAAACTGGGAAGAGATCTCAAGTGGAGTACCACAGGTTCCTCAAATGGAGTTCCACCAAATGTCCATATCTTTGGTGAAATCTGCACAGTACATCAAAGCAGAGATTAATTAAGGGGCAGCAGCAACAAGACCAATATCAGCATGACTGACAAGCTCATAACTAAAGAAATGGTGGGGAAAACAGAGGACTAATGCACCCACAAACTGACCAGAGGTCTGATCCAAAGGTAACCATATTCAATAGCAGTCTTTCCTTTGACTTTAGGGAAGGTTAGATGAGGTCCTCAGTCATAGTTTTCTAGAGTATTGAACACTTGTTAATAACTCCTCTGTATGAGAAGAAGATACTAGATTTTCTTTGGCCACCAGCCAAAGGGGTAAAAATAAAGATGTACATAAAGTTATTTGAAAATTAAACTCCTAATTTGTATATATCAGGATAATTCCTGCAGTATAGCACATAATGGTTATATGGGTGTGATTAATAGGCAAAAAGGGTGTAGGCCTCGCTGGAGCATTGGTCATTATGTACTGCCTGCACAAAGGCTTTGCTAAAGTGTTAACCAGAGTAAGCCTGATGAGCAAACCTACACATAAACTTCTCACATAAAGCTTGGCATGTGGCCAGACATGCACTGCTGCCAAAAGATGTGAGGGGGAGATGGCTGTACAAGTTGTAGGATGATAAGGCTGAAACAGGAACACTTAGATCAGGACGTGAACCAAGCCCAGGGTACAGGACAGTTTAAGATATTCAGGATACAGGTGTAAAGTGATAAACAACTTGCTTTGATCACTGTATAAATGGAGGTTTGGAAAATATGGGAACTTTGTAGCAGCTTAGGGGAGCCTGCGTGGTGTTGTGCCAACTACCTTATCAAAGACATAAATGCATTAACACCTAGTCTGATGTACTTATTAAGCCAAAGTGTGGTAGGGCTGTACTTGTAAACAATAAACCTGGCTGACTCTTTGCCACCAAACCAAGCCTCTGGTCACTTCTTAAGAAAAGATTAACACTGGAAACTCCTGACTGTGACTTTTGCTGGCACCGCACTTCCTGAGTTGACAGTGGTGACCCCAAAGAGGCTTCAGTGTCCACTTGAAAAAGTGTCTATTTTTGCATCTTGTCCAGCATTTTCTGAATGTAGTTCTTCAGTATATAGCAAAAGTCATATTAACTCTCTTAAGAGAAGAATCAGACCCATATTCTCAAAGTCAAGTAACAAAAAAGCAAGGATGAAATGTTTTATGACCCTACTATATGTCTCAGTCCATGCATAGTGGCGTCAGGTGGTTGTGGCAAAGGGGCGGGCTGGGGTACAAAGGTGCTGAAGTGCAGCAGCTAGGCAGCAGGCAGTCCCCACACTTTAGCACCCTCATGCCCCAGCCAACCCCATCACTGTTTACACATGGGTTTCAGTGCACATAATTACTCCACCATAGGAGAGTATTGTCCCCAACAGTATTCTACAGTGGAGTTAATTAATTTACTGCACCCTAACGTCAGCACAAGTGTAGACAGTGATGCTTTACTACCGAGCTAATTAGCCCAGTAAAGCACACATGTAGATGCACCCAGTAGAAGCCAAAAGTGACTGCAGAGTTGAGACAGACAGACAGAAATAAGGAGGCATATAGAGTGTATGAGAAGAGAGAGGTAATTGGCTACCTATATATAACTAGATAGATAGATATATACTGAAGGCTGGCAGGGTGTCCAGCTTCAGCAGGGTGATGGCCAGCAGGGTGCCTGCAGGGAGGGTGTCCAGCTACTTCAGGTATGGGCAGAGCTGCTCCAGGATGTCCAGGAAGGTGGCCTGGTGATCCTGAATGCCTCCAGGTACTGCTCATCATCCCAGGTGGCCTAGACAATGTGCTGCCACTGGTTCTTGCTGGCCCAGCGGGCCCAGAGGTGGTGAGGCTGGAGGCCCAGAACAGCATGGACAGCCCAGGCGGTGGCATCCAGAGCCCATCATCACATTGTCAGCATCTCATAGTTGAGTATTTACTCAATTAGAAGATGAGGTTCCCACAACCCCCCCCC